AAAAAAAAAAACCCCAAAAAAGCATACAAAGAATCAATGAAACAAAAAGCTGGTTCTATGAAAAGATAAACAAGATCAACTAACCCCTGGCAAATCTAACTAAAATGAGAAGGGACAAGACCCAAATTAATAAAATTAGAAATGAAAAAGGGGAGAAAACAACAAACACCAAGGTAATCCAGGGAATCATCAGGGACTACTTTGAAAACCTATATTGAAATAAATAGGAAAAATCTAGAAGAAATGGATGAATTTCTAAATACGTATGATCATACCAAATTGAACAAAGAGGATATTAAAAACCTAAACTGATCTACAACAGGCAATGAAATTGAAGCAACAACAAATAGTTTCCCAAAACGGAAAAGTGTAGGACCTTATGGATTCACCACTGAATTCTACTTTAAAAGACCCTTAAAGTAGAACTAATACCAGCACTCCTCTAATTATTCCACAAAATAGAAAGGAAAGGAACACTGCCAAACTCATTCTATCAAGCCAGTATTACACTCATCCCAAAACCGGAAAAGGACACAACAAAAAAGAGAATTATAGGCCAATCTTTTTAATGAATATAGATGCAAAATATCTTCAGTAAAATATTGGAAAACCAAATTCAACAACATATTAAAAAGATCATACACCATAATCAAGTGGGTTTCATCCCAGGGATGCAGGGATAGTTCAACATACACAAATCATTAAATGTAATACAGCATATTAACAGAAGCAAAGACAAAAACCTCTTGATCATCTCAATATATTCAGAAGAAACTTTCAATAAAATTCAACATCCTTACATGATAAAAGCGCTGATGAAACTAGGAATAGAAGGAATGTAATTCAATATAATAAAGGCTATATATGACAAGCCCATAGCCAATATCATACTAAATGGGGAAAAACTGAAACTATTTCCTCTAAAGTCAGGAACAAGACAAGAGTGTCTACTCTCTCCACTCTTATTCAACATAGTCCTGGAAGTATAAGAAGAAATAAAAGGAATACAAATTGGAAAGGAAGCAGTCAAACTCTCCCTCTTTCTATCATGAAGATGACATGATCCACAAAAAACTAGACCTCATAATCAGCTTCAGCAAAGTAGCAGGATGCAAAAATCAATTTACAAAATCAGCAGCCTTTCTGTACACAAACACTGTACAGATTGAGAAAGAATATAGGAAAATAATTCCAATTATAATAGCCTCAAAATAATAAAATACCTAGGAATAAACTTAACAAAGGATGTGATAGACCTCTAAGGAAAACTATAAACCAATGAAGAAAGAAATCAAAGAGGACTACAGAAGATGGAAAGATCTCCATGCTCATGGATTGGTAGAATCAACATAGTGAAAATGTCTATATTGCCAAAAGCAATCTACATGTTCAATGTAATTCCCATCAAAATCCCAATGACATTCATCACAGAGATTGAAAAATAAACTCTGAAGTTCATTTGGAAGCACAAAAGACCAAAAATAACCAAGGCAATTCTGATCAAAAAAAGAAATACTTGAGATATCATAATACCTGACTTCAAAATATACTACAGAGTCATAGTAATAAAAACAGCATGGTACTGGCACAAAATCAGACATGAAAACCAGTGGGACAGAAAACCCAGATATGAATCCATGCAGCTATACCCACCTAAGTTTTGTCAAAGTTGCCAAAAACGTACAACAGAGAAAAGAGAGAAACGTACAACATTTGTCTCTTTGACAAATGTTACTGGGAAAACTGGGAATCTACATGCAGAAAACTGAAACTAGATCCATATCTTTCACCCTATACAAGTACTAACTCAAAGTGGATTAAGGACCTTAATATAAGACCTGAAACTTTGAAGCTTGTGCAGGTAGGACCAGGGAATACACGAATTAATAGGCACAATCAATGCCTTCCTAAACAGAACTCAAGTGGCTCAGCAGCTAAGAGAAAGGATTGACAAGTAGAACTACATGAAATTAAAAAGCTTCTGCACAACAAAAGAAATGGTCTCTATATTGAAGAGGTTGCCCACAGAATGGGAGAAAATCTTTGCCAACTCTACATCTGAGAAGGGATTGATAACCAGAATATGCAGGAAGCTCAAGAAACAGAACTCCCCTCAAATCAATGATCCAACAAAGAAGTGGGTAAATGAACTGAACAGAACTTTTTCAAAGAAAGAAGTCCAAATGGCTAAAAAACATATGAAGAAATTCTCACCATCCCTGGTCACAAAGGAAATACAAATCAAAACCATGTTAAGATTCCATCTCATTCCTGTTAGAATGGCTACCATCAAGAACACAAACAGCAACAAATGTTGGTGAGGAGGCAGGGAAAAAGGATCCTTCACACACTGCTGATGGGAATGTAAGCTAGTACAACCACTATGGAAAACAATATGGAGGCTCCTCAAAAAGCTAAAAACAAAACTGCCATATGATCCAACAATTCCACTCCTAGGGATATATCGATCATATATATACCCATATACTTTTATTCCTTTGTAAGTTAGGTTATAATAAAGACACCTCCACACCCATGTTTATTGCAGCACTATTCACAATAGCTAAGCTATGGAAACAGCCAAAATTCTTCACTACTGACAAATGGATTTAGAAAATGTGGTATTTATATACAATGGAATTTTATTTAGCCACAAAGAAGAATAAAATATTGTCGTTTGCATGTAAATAGATGGAACTGGAGAACATCATCTTAAGTGAAGTTAGCCAGGTTCACAAGGCAAAAAGCCGCATGTTTTCTCTCATATGTGAAATATAGACCTAATTCAAATACAGTAATATTATGAAAAACAGGTCGTGCTAAGGGCAGGTCACATATGAGAGAGGGAGGGTAAAAGGAGGAAGTTAAGACGGTGTATATGGTTGTATTCTCTATACAAGAATGAATATAGAATTTTTAAATCAGTTGAAACCACCATAAGAAAGGGACTAAGGTAGAAAGAAGAGAAATAGAGGGGATGAACCAATTTGGATATATATATATATATATATATATATATATATGGAAGTGCACAAGAAAACTCCCTGTGTTGCTATCTTAAACAAGCAAAATGGCATTCTTGTTTCTTTTACAAATCAGAGTGGAACACTTCCTGCCATGCTGCGGGCGAGGGTGTGTGTGGGGGGGGAAGGTTGGGATGTTGGTGCCAGTGGGAGTGGGGAAGGGGTGTGGAAAAAGGTGTAAAAGCGTGAATATTGTACACATACTGTGTATACAAGTATGTAAATGGAAAAATGATATCTGTTGAAACTATTCCAGGAATGGGGGGAGAGGGTATAAAGGAGAATGGCAGAGGGGGTGAATTCAAGTATGTATATTTGATATTTTGTAAGACCTTTTTAAATGTCACAATGTTCCCCTACCCAGCACAACAATTAAAAAAGAAAGAAGACATAATGAAAAGTACTAGTTATTATACAATAAAAAATTTCCAAGAAAAAAAACAAAAAAATACTCCACAAAAAATAGTACACTTAAAAAAATACATAGAAGATTAAGAAAACAGCAATATGTATTCAAGCTGTCTTTGAGACACAAGGGTTTATCGCAATATCCTCTCTCCTTATATATTTGAAATATTCCCCAATAAAAATTTAAAGAATGAAAATAACAATAAATAAAAGGGTTTCTAGTCTATTTTATCAAATTTTATTATTGAAACAATGAAGGGCTGGAATATTTGTGCTAGAAGTGTTCTTTAGTGTTCTGCAATATTTTTCATTTTAACAATTTGATTTCTATAACTTCCAGACTGAATGCATTTCACCTGGAAAGAAAGAAGTTTACAATTGACCAAATTCTCAATTTACTTGACCAAAAAATAATCATAAAAAATGTTACATCTAGTGCTCAATGAAAGGGGGTCATAGATCTGCTTCTGTTTTTATGAGGGTAAGCATACTGCTTCTGGCTACTTTTTGCAGTAAAGAGTACATATAGTAGGGAATATTTGTAAACATCCAAATTGTTCATGGCTTATGTAATCAAGGTTAGTGATATTAAATTTGTCAATAGTGCCTAATTCTCACAGTTTGCTTTAAAGTGATTTTGTGATGTAAAATCTAATTTACACATTTATTTAACAATATTTTCTTCTTGTATGATTTTAAAGTCCAACAGATAGGAACAAGAGGTTTCTGGGCAAAATACATTCATCTTCAGCATCCTCTGCCTACAGGCATAAATGCCATAGGCGATATAAAATGGTTGAGTTTATAAGATTAACCTTTTAAAGCTCATAGAAAGACTCTTAAGCAATGGTCCTAGCAATAGAACAAAATATAAATCTCACCTTCCACTTTGAAAGCATTCACAATAGAGGATACTTTTTTAAAAAATTATCTTTTGTAAGAGTTTTACTTGCAAATATTTGTTTTGCTGGAGAAGGCTGGAATCCTTAAATTATATTTTAATGTGATTAAAAATATTTGCAAAGAAATATAAAATTTTATAATATACAGAAAAATTTTTATCTAAAATACTCTAAATTTTAAAAAATGTAATACATTCTTTTCTTTGTAAAGGTAGCATCTTCATGAAAAGATGCTCAAAAAGTTCAGCTGTTATCTTCCACCAAAAGAAAGTAAAGGCAGGTAAAGTACCTGCCTAGCAAGTGGGAAGCCCTGAGTTCAAATCCTAGTACTGCCAAAAAGAAAGAAAGAAAGTTAAGACAGCAAGAAGTAAATTAGGCCTCATAAACAAACTGTGTTACAGAGGGTTAGGCCTAGGCATTTCAGCGAATTTGTTACATGGGCAGGGACACTGTTGTTACAATAACAATGATGATAATTATTTTACATGCAATAAAATTTAAATGTAAAGAATTGTGCAGTGGGTTGCACCAGTTACAAAGATTGTGAGTAATCCTAGCATTTGGTTCAGCCACATATTTGAAGAGATGTTTTCCATCTTCAAGACCTGTGCATCATGTCGCTCCCATTACCTCTCTTCTTTCTAAGTCTGATCCCCAAACACCTTACCGACTACAGCCTCAGTGTATTTCCCTTCTGTGGGAAGAGGGAAGTACTGGTTTGGAGATAAGTTGCTGCCGTAACCCAGGAGAAAACCTTCAAGCTTTGTGTTTGGACTTGGACGCAGGAACTTTAGGAAGATGGAGTCACTCGTGGTGTTGATGTGGACTTTCAGGCTAGGCCTTTTACCTAACAACGGGAACAGAAAAATAGGTGGCTGTTACTTTACCTCTTTTGCATTCCACAAAAAAAATCCCAGCAAAAGTTGGTTGTTTGCTACTCAGGATCACAGCATCCCCTCCCCAAACACACACACACACACACACAAATATCCAAAGTGTAGCTAATCTAGAGATCAAAGAAAATGGACTTCAGAACAAGTAAAGCAGCCTACAATAAAAAGTAAAGTCATGGAGGTTCAGTACTTGATAGTTTATTACCAAGCAAGTAGGCAGAATTTAGATTTTTCTTTTTTTTTTGACAATCAACAGTTGGTCACCTTATATATATACTATTACAGTGAAAGAGCCTGAATTCTCTTTTTGGTAAAACTGAAGTACTACACCTGGTATCCTCCCCCACTCCCAGCCTCATCTGTGCTGCTCTCCAGTCCCAAGCCCACAGGTCTTCGTCATTGATAGCGATAAAAAAGGAAGGGAAAAGGAAGGTTTCTAGCACAGCTATAGCTAAGGTGGTAAAACAGGGAACGCTAGAGGGAGGAGAATTGTTAAGGAGAAACATGACTAGTTTTATTGAGAGCTCGCTGGGTCAGTACGACAACTATATAGAGATGCCCAACAGTTTACTGAAAAGCTAAGTGACATACTCAGAGCAGGGTACAGACCCATCTGGGTGGCATTAGTTTATAAGTAATCATTGGATGGATTTCCCGAGAAAGACCGTAGAAAGTTCTCAAGACTTTTTTTAAATCACTAATGCAACAAGAACAGATAATCACACGAACCAAAGGTCATGATCAAACAATGAGGAAACAATATTTTTTGTCTCTGGAGACAGAAGGAACCTGGTCCAAACCCTGTTACTTATCAGTGTGGCCTCTGGCACCTCCCTGAATATGCTTGAGGCTTAGTTTCCTGTTTTGTAAATGATGGGTAACAGCTACCTTCCTGTTGGTTTACTTATAAATACTAATGAAAATGGCACAACTCTAAAGTTAGCATGAAGCAATTGCCCAATGATTGCTTACTAATGCAGGTCCACAATTCTTTAGCTACTGTTCAGAAATCCAAAAAGCTTTTTATGTGTTTTTTTTCTACATTTATCTCAAAATAATTTGGCAACCAAACCACTGTGAATGATCATGAGTCCATTTAGTCTTTATCCCATTCAGCGTGACTATTCACACGTTTCATTATGGAAATGTGCCTCATTAAGTCAGCAAATAGTGCTTGCTGCTCAAGCCCTCACTGACAAGATTATACAATAGATGCTCTAATACATTTTTTTAATGCCCCAAATTTCTGATTTCTAAAACAAATCTGGCTTCAAGGGTTGAGATTGTGAGCGTGAATTATTTTCTTTATTACCCAAAGATTTAATAGTTGCAAAATATTTTTTGGTCTATTGAGACTACTGCATTTACTAATTTAACAATTCACATTCTATTTGTCATTAATCAAAGTTGTATATTAATAAATACCAATCATCACATCTGTACAGCATGAGCTTTCCAAGGTTTCACACTAAGTTTATTCTACTTTAGTCCAAATCAGTTTGGACAGCCTGGATCAACAAAGGCATATAAGAGGTGTCCATTCAGCCTTAGAAGAAGAAAACCAACCTCTTCATTGATAGCAGGTTGCAGGAACCACTCTTACTTCAGAAGCCAATTCTGCAAGTTCCATGTACATTACTTTGTACTCCCAAAACCTTGATGAATTTTTATTCAGGTTTTGGATTCTCAGATTGCTATTTCTCTATCTGTGGCAAAATCGAAACTCATAGATACTGAGTAGTTTATCCATAGCACTAAAAAGGGACTTCACAACTCATCTAGTTCAACTTTTCCAATTAAGAAAACTGAGGGCATTTATACCTTTGTTACCTTGTATATTAAGTGCAGGATCAAAACTAGGCCTTAGGTTCTCATTGTCATTGTAGTCAAGTCACTCAGGCTGATGCTAAACACTGATGCTTTTGTTCTGTCTTAACTTCACCAGATTTTGATGAAGTGATTTATACTTCAGACAAAACAGATTTTATCCAACCCAATTTTCCCCTTTTTAGCTATGTTCTTGTGTTAACTTCAGAGTTACTCCATCCTGCTCAATAGAATGGAACAAATGTTAGTCAAGCACATATTCTGCTGCTTTAGAAAGTTATCAAGTCTCACAGGAAGTCAACACACAGCTGTCCTATTTCCAATATTTTCTTGGGAAGAAGAGAATAAATCTTACTGCACTCACACTTGACCAAGAGCAGAGTCACAGCATTAGCATCACATCAGACTTTTGCCCATGGAGTGTACCTAACGCACCATGTTATTCCTCCCCTGGGAGAGTGGAAAGGATGGTTACACCAAATGGGAGAAAGAAAGGTCATAAACACAGCCACAAACCAACCAAAACAGAAGTGATCAACTCCTCTTGAAGACTTTTCATGACCCCAACCTTTCTACCTTTTGCTAGCAATTTATGTCAGCAAATACACTGACATTATATAACTTTCTAAATGAATTTGCATTTTAGATGTCCTACTTTCCCCAAAATTCCAGTTAATACTAGTCTCTAGGGCTAAACTTTTTAAATGTCCTGAAAAAGAGAAGTAAATGCAAACAAATCTCACCTCAGTGGAGCCTCACAAACTTAAAATTTTAAGATCATCACCCCAGTTTTTTATTTAGAAACTTAAATCTCTTCATCATTTTATCATACATTACTTCTTCTAATTCTACACATCTCATTTGATTTTGCCCAAATCTTCTCACATTCTGCAATGTATATATGATCCTGCTTCTACATCTTTGCTCGCATTGTTGACCCACTGTAGAGTCCTTCTATCTTTGGTTTGCCTTTTCTGCGTACCTATGTTTATCCATTGATTACTTCATGATCCTTTCAGTGGTCAGAAAAAAAGGTTAAGCAAGTTCTTTTTCCCTTTATTCCAAATGTTTGTCAAATATTCCTCCAAATGGATTTTTGAATGAGTATTCCATGGATATTTTATACTGTTGAACAAGATCCTCAATACTTTGAAGCTATATCTTTGTAGCCTACATTAATTTTAATCTTTAGTAATATATTTATCTTTACTCTGAATAATTTTGGTTTAATGTTTTGGACCCAAGTCATGTAATGGCATTTATCTTTCAATAGTTAGTAGCAGTGACTAGGTAAAGGTAGCAGAAAATTATACAATATAATATAGGCTTGAAAGGTAAAACATTTATAAATAAAATAACATATATATTACCCAGAAAAGTCAGGGGTACAGAGAAATAAGAGTACTAGACGAACATTTTATTGCATTTCATACGAGAAACAAAGCATATGGAAACAAGTGTGAGAAAAAATTTTAAAAGGCATTTTGGAAAAGCAATACTAGTATGCCTTGGAAAAAATTACATATTGGCAAAGTAGAATCTTGGATCTATGACAGTGGTTTCTAATCCTCTGTTTGCAACACCCTACAGTATCTCTAAATATTTCAAAGGGTATTGTGAAATTCTAAAAGAAAACAATGTCTTTCAAAGCAAAATTAGAGTTAATACACTTCTAATTTTTAAAAGTAAATACATGCCTTGAAGCATTAAAAACAGTGAGCAAAGCGGTGAGTCAAGATACAGATACTCCTGTAAGTTCAAAGAACTCTAGATCAATCAGAGGAGGTGGGATGCTGTTGCTGCTGACAAAGTGTGGAAAGTTTTGGCAAAGTTCTGTAAAGATACATTACCCTGCCTGGGGACATAGCTCTGTGGTTGAACAAATGCCCTAGGTTTAATCCCCAGCAAACAACAGCAAAAGAAACACACGTGGTTCTTCATGAAACCAGCTAACCATCATGGGCATCCAGTCACAGACCTGAGAGAAAGGAATCACAACTAAAATATACTCAGTAGGAGGAATTTTTCATGTCTCAAGGTTATCTTACACTTCCCAAAATATTTCAGAACCAATTCTAAATTCTTGATGACAGTTGATCAAGATGATAAAAGTACTGTAGGAGAAGCCCTACAAAATATTAATGGTCTCTTCTAAAAGTAAAGGGTACTTACTAGTGTAAAAACATGAATTACCATCATTGACATGATCTCAGTGTTACAAAACACTAATGAAAAAATTAGAAATATTCTAAGTAGCAAGTTTGGGCTAAAAATAAATCAGATATGGCATTAATATTCTTAGGGTCCTAGAATAGCTGTAATACTGTGGTCAATAAAATAATGACTCATTTCAGGATTAAAAACATAACCCTATTTTTACCCACAGTAAATTCCTCTTATACTGCACATATTACATTTACAGAACTAATCTCTACACTTGCTCTGCACTTTATTTTGTCATGCAAAATTTATATTTTCTTAAGATATTTGAATAGTTAAATCAATTTCCATCTGTTCAGATTTGGCATAGGAAGCATAGATTTTTAAAAAAACTGATGACTTGATTTGATCAAATTTTTAGAGTTTTGACATTTAAGAGAACCAACAAGAAAAATAAAAGGCAAACTAAATATTGTCAGAAAATATTATCAATACATACATCTACTGAAGGACATATATCCAGAGCATATAAATGTTCTTTCCACTCAATAAAAGGACAAAACAAGAAAACGGGGAAAGATTTTAAAATATTGGAATAGCTTCTTCACTAAGCAGGTATTTGGAAACCAAGAAGCACTTGAAAAAATGCTCAACGTCAGGGTCAGCAGGTGTTTTCCATCATGGGTCAGGCACTAAATACTTCAGGCTGTGCAGACCAGATGTTCCTACCACAACTAATCAATTCTGTGACTGTAGCACAAGAAAAGGCTATGGACATCATACAAAAAAATGGTCATGGCTATCTTCCAATGGATCATATTTGTAAAAACATAAAGTCTCAGAAGTCATGGTTTTCCCACTCCTTATCAATATAATTTGTCACCAGGGAAATTAACATTAAAACCACAATGATGTACCACATATATAAGAACTGCTAAAGTTAGAAAGATAGCCAATAGTGTTAGAA